CCGTGTCTTTGTCTGTGTCTGTGTCTGTGTCTGTGTCTGTGTCTGCGTCTGTGTCTGTGTCTGTGTCTGTGTCTGTGTCTGTGTCCGTCTCTGTGTCTGTCTCTGTGTCTGCCTCTGTGTCTGTCTCTGCGTCTGTCTCTGTGTCTGTCTCTGTGTCTGTCTCTGTGTCTGTTTGTGTGTGTGTCTCTGTGTCTGTCTCTGTGTCTGTCTCTGTGTCTGTCTCTGTGTCTGTCTCTGTGTCTGTCTCTGTGTCTGTCTCTGTGTCTGTCTCTGTGTCTGTCTCTGTGTCTGTCTCTGTGTCTGTCTCGGTGTCTGTCTCTGTGTCTGTCTCTGTGTCTGTCTCTGTGTCTGTCTCTGTGTCTGTCTCTGTGTCTGTCTCTGTGTCTGTCTCTGTGTCTGTCTCTGTGTCTGTCTCTGTGTCTGTCTGTGTCTGTCTCTGTGTCTGTCTCTGTGTCTGTGTCTGTGTCTGTGTCTGTGTCTGTGTCTGTGTCTGTGTCTGTGTCTGTGTCCGTCTCTGTGTCTGTGTCTGTGTCCGTCTCTGTGTCTGTCTCTGTGTCTGTCTCTGTGTCTGTCTCTATGTCTGTCTCTGTGTCTGTCTCTGTGTCTGTCTCTGTGTCTGTCTCTGTGTCTGTCTCTGTGCCTGTCTCTGTGTCTGTCTCTGTGCCTGTCTCTGTGAATCTGTGTCTGTCTCTGTGAATCTGTGTCTGTCTCTGTGTCTGTCTCTGTGTCTGTCTCTGTGTCTGTCTCTGTGTCTGTCTCTGTGTCTGTCTCTGTGTCTGTCTCTGTGTCTGTCTCTGTGTCTGTCTCAGTGTCTGTCTCTGTGTCTGTCTCTGTGTCTGGGTGTCTCTGTGTCTGTCTCTGTGTCTGTCTCTGTGTCTGTCTCTGTGTCTGTCTCTGTGTCTGTCTCTGTGTCTGTCTCTGTGTCTGTCTCTGTGTCTGTCTCTGTGTCTGTGTCTGTGTCTGTCTCTGTGTCTGTCTCTGTGTGGCTCTGTGTGGCTCTGTGTGTTTCTGTGTGTCTCTGTGTGTCTCCGTGTGTCTCCGTGTGTCTCCGTGTGTCTCCGTGTGTCTCCGTGTGTCTCCGTGTGTCTCCGTGTGTCTCCGTGTGTCTCCGTGTGTCTGCGTGTGTCTGCGTGTGGTCTGGTGTGTCATGCGTGTGTCCTGCGTGTGTCTGCGTGTGTCTGCGGTGTCTGCGTTGTCTGCGTGTGTCTGCGGTGTCCTCGGTGTGTCCCTCGGTGTGTGTGCGTGTGTCTCTGTTGTCTGCCTGTGTCTGCGTGTGTCTGCGTTGTGGTCTGCGTGTGTCGGCGTGGTGTCTGCGTGTGTCTGCCGGTGTCCTGCGTGTGTCCTGCGTGTGTCAGCGTGTGTCTGCGTTGCGCAGGCATGGCCGGCGTGCCGCGTGGCCGGCGTGTTCGCATGCCGGCCGTGACGGCGTTTCGGAGTGTCTGTGTGTCTGTGTTCTGTGTGTCTGTGTGTCTGTGTGTCTGTGTGTCTGTGTGTCTGTGTGTCTGTGTGTCTGTGTGTCTGTGTGTCTGTGTGTCTGTGAGTCTGTGTGTCTGTGTGTCTGTGTGTCTGTGTGTCTGTGTGTCTGTGTGTCTGTGTGTCTGTGTGTCGGTGTGTCGGTGTGTCGGTGTGTCGGTGTGTCGGTGTGTCGCTGTGTCGGTGTGTCGGTGTGTCGGTGTGTCTGTGTGTCTGTGTGCCTCTGTGTCGGTGTGTCGGTGTGTCGATGTGTCGGTGTGTCGGTGTGTCGGTGTGTCGGTGTGTCTGTGTGTCTGTGTGTCTGTGTGCCTGTGTGCCTGTGTGCCTGTGTGCCTGTGTGTCTGTTCGTGTCTGTGTGTGTGTCTGTGTGTCCGTGTGTCTGTGTGTCCGTGTGTCGGCGTGTCGGCGTGTCGGCGTGTCGGCGTGTCGGTGTGTCGGTGTGTCGGTGTGTCGGTGTGTCTGTGTGTCTGTGTGTCTGTGTTCCTGTGTGTTCCTGTGTGTTTCTGTGTGTCTGTGTGTCTGTGTGTCTGTGTGTCTGTGCGTCTGTGCGTCTGTGCGTCTGTGTGTCTTTGTGTCTGTGTGTCCATGTGTCTGTGTGTTTTTGTGTCTGTGTGTCTGTGTGTCTGTTTGTCTGTCTGTCTGTGTGTTTGTGTGTCTGCGTGTCTGTGTGTCTGTGTGTTTGTGTGTCTGCGTGTCTGTGTGTCTGTGTGTCGGTGTGTCTGTGTGTCTGTGTGTCTGTGTGTCTGTGTGTCTGTGTGTCTGTGTGTCTTTGTGTCTTTGTGTCCATGTGTCTGTGTGTTTGTGTCTGTGTGTGTGCGGAGTCTCTGATCAACCGAGAGACCAACAGTTTCATCGCAGGGGGCGCAGGCCGCCCGTTGTGGATACCTATGCCAACGAAGCTTTTCCACGGTGGGGGATGGGTAGTCTGATCCACCTGTACCTGCAAACGTGATGCAAAATTGATTTGGCTCTCTGGTTGTCTCGCTCTGCCAGCTGTTACTGAAGTAGCGTTTTCGCATCAAAGGGAAGCCATTGTCTTGCCGGCTGAGCCGTTGTACCTGAAATGTACCAAGCTGAGCCCGATCCAACTCAAAGATTAGCGCTCTCCCTCGGGAGTCTGAGCGCTTTCACCCCATCCAGGGGGACCTTCGGGTGCACCCCTTGCGTCGCCCCGGGCCGGCTCTGCACGAAAATTACACCTCAGCGGTTTGATCACTAGCCAAGCGCAATCACGCCATTCAGTGGAACGAGGTTTCACTAAAGTTACCAGAGCGGCACGCTTCTGTTTGTTTGGGTTGCGGTTGAATTGTGTTTGGTTGTTCATCATCTTCGTTCAACCGCGTGTCTGTCCTTTGGTTCTTCTTCATGTCTTTCGTGAGCCGTGCGTTGGTCTTCCTTCTCTTGGCCCGTTTAGGGATGGCCTGATTGCCTTCGAGTTGTTTGCCTTTCTCCTCGTCGTCTCCTGCCTGTCTGCCTTCCTGTTCCCCTCCTCGTTCCCCTCATGCAGTTTGGCTTGGCGTCTTCTTCCTCTTCCGTTGCTTCCACGTGTTGCTCCTCTTGGCCCCTTGCGGGATTCGACGTCCTCTTCTTCGATCTTTGGTCTTCAACTGCGTCGCCCTGAGTACGCACACTATCCCTCCTCCTCTTATCCTCCTCTTCTTCTCTCCTTTTGCCTGGGTGGGATGCGGCGCCCTAAGCACGCGCACTCACCCTCTCTCTTTAGTTCTCTTTCTCTTTCGTTCTTTTTCCTTTTTCCCTTTTCTCCTGGGTTGCGACGCCCTAAATACACATTCTTACTTTCTCACTTTCTTTCTTCTGTTTCCTTTCTTCTTCTTTTCTTTCTCCTTTTGCGCTACTTTGTGTTCCTCCTCTTTGCCCGTTTAGGGATGGCCTCTTCCACCTTGCGTTCTTCAACTTTGCGGTGGTCTTTTGCACTGTTTGGCTTGTTGTCCATGTCGGAGACCCTAAGCCGGGCTTCCCTGTTTTTCTTGTTTCTTGTTTGGGGTTTTGCCCGCGGACACCCAACGTGGCACCTTTTGCTTTGTTTTTGATTTGTTTTATTCGTTTGCTTTTCTGGGGGCCTGTGTGTGTGTGCGCGGAGTCTATGATGAACCTGGAGACCAACAGTTTCACCGCAGGGGGCATGTGTGCCCGTCGTGGATACCTGTGCCAACGAGAGGATGGGTAATCTGATCAACTACCTGTGCCTGCAAACGTGATGTAAGGTCCATTTCATTTGGCTCTCTGGTTGTCTCGATGTAAGTGCTTGTTTTCGCATCAAAGGGAAGCCATTGTCTTGCCGGCTGAGCCGTTGTACCTGAAATCTACCAAGCTGAGCCCGATCCAACTCGAAGATTAGCGCTCTCCCTTGGGAGTCTAAGTGTGTGCGTGTGCAGGTCCCACCTTCTGCTGATGCTTTTGGATTGGACGCTTGGGGGTTTGGGCCTTCCAACTCTTGTCGAAACCAATGGCGAAGCCGCCCTTGACCTCACACGTCTAGAACCGTCTAAGCCACCACAACGTACAGGAGGTCGGCCAAAGCACCGATTGCTGTGCGCAGCAGATTGGGCACGTTAGTCCGCCCGCTGGGGGCGAGCTTTGTACAGTTCCTGCGCAGCATGGACATGGTTTCCCTCTTAAACGCTTCTTGAAAGACTGCATCCGGAGTTTCACGGGGGACTTCCGGCCACGAGAGCATCCAAGTTGCAAAGGAGGGTGGGTACCCAGATGCTCTAAGAATGGCGTTCCACTCATGCTGGAGCTGGGCGCTCTTGCCTTCCGTGATGTGGCGGTAGGTGCCGTCCCTGGTAGCGATTTGAGAGTACAAGGATTGGATACGTCGTTAGGACAGCCAAGGGCGAACCAATCACGAGACACGCGCGCCAAACAAGTGGCCATGTTCCATCTCGGGAATCTGGATGTTTCCACTCGGCGTTGTTTCCGCACTGCCAAACCCACTTGTGTATGTCAAATGCTATGACTGGGATACACCACCAATTAATGCCTGGTGTGGACCAAAAGGCGCCTGGTGATGGCCACATATAGAGGTGTGTAAATCACAATATGGGTGCGTGTGTGTATGTGTGCGTGTGGCAAAATACAGGGGCCCAACAAATTGTTGTGGTCCTTTTGGTTTCCTTTAAACCAATCCCTGAGAGGGTAGCTTCAAACAAACACACTTCGAAGAGAACCTCTGGGTTTAACATTTTTGGGGTAAAAAACGAAATTCATCATTCAAAACACTCAGTTTGGGAGGGTGCCCCAAACAGGAGCCGGAAGGACGCTCCCAAAAGAATCAAAGAAGGTCATGGTGCTTTCATCTTTGGTTCTCTGAAAGAAACATCCCTGGAAAGAACGGGGATGTTACGTCTGGAATCATCAAGCCCCCTGTTTCTTGGGCCATGGAAGTGGTGCGTTCAACCTGCAGGCGGTGTCTCAAAATAGAGTTTTGGACCCTAAAACTGGGGTTTAACCAACAAATGTCCCCCTTTACAACGAACCCACCCCCCCAAAACAAGATTCGCACACATACACACACACACACTCGAATATGCCCTGCATGTAGTGTTTTCTTAGTGGCTGTAAACTCAGTCAATTCAGTCTTCCTTTGCACACCAGTTGGTGGGTTGTTTCTTCCAGTGGGCTACATGCATCTCACTTTTTTGGTTACAGATATAATACATACATAAACACCGTTTTCTATTTTTGCATGTTTTTGTCTCAAAATAATCCACCCCCCAACAAAAGGGTACCCAACAAACCAACAATCAACGCGCGCGCGCGCGCAGCCGATTCGAGCGACGCGGTCCAGCGCCGAGGTGCCGCTCCATCACCAGGACGCCCGGGAGATGCGCCAGGCCGACGGCAAGAAGCCGGGGGCCCCGGGCGATTTTCTTCCGTGGGCGGCTTTTGTTTTGCTGCCCTGCTTCTTGTGCTTAGTCTTTTTTTGGTGGTGTGGGTGGTGTTTTTGTTTGTCCGTTGGTTAATGGGTTGGTGGACTTGCATTGTTTTTGTTTTGTTTTTCTTTCTTTCTTTTTCTTTTCTTTCTTTCTTTCTTTCTTTCTTTCTTTTTTGGTTTTGTTTCTTTCTTTCTTCTTTGATTGCTTGCTTGCTTGCTTGCTTGCTTGCTTGCTTGCTTGCTTGCTTGCTTGCTTGCTTGCTTGCTTGCTTGCTTGCTTGCTTGCTTGCTTGCTTGCTTGCTTGCTTCTTGCTTGCTTGCTTGCTTGCTTGCTTGCTTGCTTGCTTGCTTGCTTGCTTGCTTGCTTGCTTGCTTGCTTGCTTGCTTGCTTGCTTGCTTGCTTGCTTGCTTGCTTGCTTGCTTGCTTGCTTGCTTGCGGGCTTGCTTGCTTGCTTGCGTGCGTGCGTGCTTGCTTGCTTGTTTGTTTGTTTGTTTGGGGAGTTGGCCCTGTGTTCAGATGAGTTTCGGGAAGATGGGGGCCAAGCAGCAATCAGCACAAAATCCGAGAGTCATCCAGCCACCACCAAAAACGGGCAAGCAGCCACAAAAGCAAAAAGCGGACCGTTTGACATATGCAAGACCAGAAGGGGCGGACACGTGAGGGCCTCAATCTATCCGCGATTTGAAACGGTGGCAGAGCTTGTGCTAGCTAGGACTATACACTCAGTCGGACAAATCCTCATGTCCTCACCAAAGGGGCACCCCCACGGTAGTGATGAAATGGCAGGATTAATAAACCCTGGCTTGATGAATCGGGGGTGTCCCATTTAAGGCGGGCTCTTTCACTTTTTGGGGAGTCGCACCCCGCTAATGCAACAGCTTGATGAATCCGGGGTCATTCATCTCAAGTTGCGCCAGCTTGACTTGCATATGTGTCAAATAGGGGGATAAAAAAAAGATGAACAGGCTACCCTCAAAAAGCACATCCACTTGTTGAATATGCCTTTTCTATAGTGTCTTCTTGGTGGTTGTATATCCTGTTCTGGATTGTTATCCCAGTGGGTTACATCCATCTCAACTGGTGCGAAGTGGACTGTTGTGCACAATCAATGAAGGCGATTTTGTCGTGTACTCATGGCGTTCAAACTCTTGGCTATCCAGCAATGTCAGGTTAAATAATTTTAGAGCAAGGGGTACACGCTCTGATATACGATCTACGCTACTCCATGAGGTAATTCCTTCCCTTATGTGGTGATTTGGATTGGTTTGGGGATCTGAACCCCAAATTCCGGGAGCACCTTCCAAGCGCCAATCCAACCCGCCTCTCCCTAGGTGGCTATTGCTGTTCGTGGCGGCCTTGGCCTCAGATTTCGAGAGTTCCGAGACGTGCTTCATTTTCTTTTTAAATGCCTTTGGCGAGAACGCAAACGCGGGTGGCAAACAACGTAGGCCTCAAGATGTGTTTTTGGAAGGAGCGTATTCTTCTTCTTATTTTGTTTGCGAAACAGTTGATAGGTTTGAGGGGAGGCCAAATTGGTGCGGCCGCCGGTTCTGAGGTTTCGCTCATTTTGAAGCATAGTCGTAGGGAACTGGGGGGCGGTTTTGGAGAAGCGGTGAAGAGAATGGACATGGAATCAATCCTGAGAATTGGGGCTACAAGAATGTCCCAAGCCAGGGATGATGAAATTTCTCGGGTAGCCCCTTGCACGGCTCTCAGAGTCTGTAAGGATACTTGCACGTTTGCTGTTTACAAGGTTGGAGGGAGGACCAATGACTGAATGAGCTGATTCGCATTCGACACGCCCCAAGTTGGGCTAACCTCGATCACCTCATGAATGACCAATTCATTTCCGCAAAGTTGGGATGCCAGTGTTTCTGGACGCCCCCCCCCCCCCCCAAGCCACAACCATCGTTTTTAGCCGCAGTAGTCTGGGTTTTAGAAACACAGCATTTGGCCCTTTTGGGACCTATTTGTATAGGTGTCCGGAAGCTGCGAAATCAGGGCTTTGTGAAAAGAGCGGGTTTGGCACGCAAGCCCTTCGTCTTTTGCAAACTTCAGCAAGCCTATCTGACGATCTTTTCTAGCAACCCCGCGGATTCCATGGCACTTCCCCTTTCCAGATCCCTCAAAGTGGCCCTTTGATGAGGGATCAGCCATTTTAGAGGACCCTCAATTCTTTGGGGCGGACAAGTTCTGATCGATGCCGCCGTTTGTCGCCTCAGATCGCAGTCTCCATGGTGGTTTGATCTGCTCACCTGTTTGGGCGTTTCCAAGGCTTTCCAGGGTGCCACTGAAAGAGTTGCCGACTTTTGAGGGCTTCCCTCTGAAAACGATGGGACTTCGCAAGTCCGGGACACTCCCTTTGCATGTCGCTCGGCTGAGACTTAGTCAGCCACATGCCCCCACATGTTCTCAGATGGGCTTCCTTTGGGAGCTCTTTAGTGTGACCCTCACACATAATATGTCCGGTTGGATGATTTTCCTCTGGCAGGGGCTCTCTGGTGGGTTCCATGCAACGCGGGGAGGGTAATCAGGTTTTTGGGGGTAAGGGATCAAAGACTGTCTTAGTCATCTCAGTCTCCCATTCCTTGAAATGCTCTCGCTCATTTTCCGCGCTTGAGTTGCAGCATGGAGGTCACTCGTTCGCCTTACTTTTTTTGGGGGCAATTCGGTCTTGGTTGCGCTCTGGTGCAAGCTTCAATGGCGGACGTTCTGATGGAAATTATTTTGACACCTGTGTCTTCACGTTCTATGCTGGTTTGGCAATACTTTGCATCCCCTGGGTGTGGGGAAAAGGGGAAGCCGGAAACAAACCCATTTTTAGGTCCCTAAGTTTAAACACCCTCCACACTCAATGTCTTAAGGCGGCAAAAGCCGTGGACGTGAGTGCTGAGGTGGTCGTGATCGCGTTCATACTGTGGCTTCTGGGAAGGCCGCCTGAGAGTGCCGAGTGCCCTGGGCTATTCAAAAGCGGGATGCCCTGTTTGTGACCCCCGAACCCTGACATGGGTGTAGCTCAAAATGAAAGAACTAGGGTTACGCAGGTTTTAGTCGGTTCCAATTGCCAAGGTGCCATTTTGGTACATGTTTTTGAGCCTTTCCCACGTGTGGCTGTGGGATGTGTCAACAATTGGAGCAAGGGATCACCTATCACAGCCGGGATATGAAGGGAGCTTTTGAAGGCACAGAAGGGTGCATTGGACTGTGTAGCTTGTGACCCATGAAGCTTTCCATGAAGGATGCAGCATGCAAAATCCAGATATGGTCATGGGGTGATTTCTAATGAGCTTCGCGGCCAAGATATGCCAGCGGAAGCAGGATCCACTTTTGAGAGGACGCACCTATATGAAGCCATGTGGAGGGGTTTTTCACACATGCCCCCCCCACCAGGATTCAGTGGAGGGGTCCGAATATATCTTCATTGGAAAGATCAAGCCATTGCAACCGCTTTATGTTGCCATCACAAAGCTAGTGCATAAGTCTGTGCCATTTGCAGGCTTCAGCAGCTTCTCAACGCAGGGTCAATTCCACGAAGAGAAGCAGGTCTAAGAAGCCTGCGGGAATTACGGGAATGTCTGCAACAAACCTGCAGTTGTCCCTTGTTCGCAGCGCTTGAGGTTGTTTGGCCAATTGCAGGGTTCTGTGACCATGACACCACGTTCGAAGGAGTTCGACACGCGGCCAGGTCGAGCGGCGATGGCAAAACAGCGCTGATAATGTGAGGATCGGTCAAAATCAGGCAACTTTGTGGGACTCACTCAATGATGCAGAAAAAAAACCAGGGGGACTCAGTCAATTGCCCACAAAAGCCAAGAGGAAAGCTCAATCCCCCCATGTCCTGTAGGGTGCCCGCATATTTTGACCGTGTCTCGTCACGTGTACCATGAGCAACGCCCAAAAACCTAGTGGCGGCGGGTGTGCTCGAGTGCGAAGGAGTTTCGTTGGCCAATCCCTTCAGAAAGTGGAATGAATCATGGAGCCTCGAACTTTGAATGCTGTGAGGGCCGCACATCCTGTCAGCCGTTTCTGCAAGCGAGCAGCCCGCCGTAGCTTGAGCGCTGCTCATACGGCTTGATGCCGGCATTGTTTACGCCGATCCCTTCAAGAGGGGGCGCCTGCGGAAAAAGTTGGGCCCCAGTTTCCCATGACATTCTGTTGGGCACATTCCTGCAGTTGGTAGGTGCTTTGCCCTAGCATTCGTAGGAATTGCAGTTGGTTTCCAACTAGTACAACATGTTGTCCATCAGTATGACCCAACCATATACCAGCAATATCAGGCTGTGCATGGCAATCTTGGAGCCAACGTGGGTTGGCTGTATACACATTGAACACACATACGTACATACATACATACATACGTACCTACCTACCTACATACATACATACATACATACATACATACATACATACATACATACATACATACATACATACATACATACATACATACATACATACATGCATGCACACATACATACGTTCATACATACGTACGTACGCACATACATACATACATGCATGCATGCATGCATGCATACATACATGCAGGCATGCAAACATACATACGTTCATACATACGTACGTACGCACATACATACATGCATGCATGCATACATACATGCATGCAT